AGATGGGATGGTACTGTGGAAATGAATAAGAATGACATCAATGTTGTCTGCTGCTTCAGGACTTTGCTTGGCTCTAGCCATTCCTGCCTTAGAATAATAATCCAGACTCCCATCTCTGAGGAGAAAGCTAGCTCCCTATAATATGACGGCTAAGGAGATCAGGGTGGTATGGTTTTGACCTGAATCCTAGTAAGGCCTGGACCAGATGGTTTTGTTGGATTATTCTTCCAAAAAGTCTGGCATATTCTTGATGATGATGCGATCAATGTTATTGATCTGTTCAACCAGGCTCTCAAAGTGCTTAATTCTACAATCATTGCCCTTGTCCCCAAGGTCTCTACCCCACGTCTCAGATTATTGGGGACTGTACCCTCACTGTTCATCTTGGGAAACTCTGTGACCCAAACAATGGTTTCAATTTTATGGAAGTTTCACATTTTTTACCCCCAGTGTTCTGTGACCCGAACATGGTTTCAATTTGATGTTGAAGAGAAGCTCTTTGTTTAACCAGTTATTGGTCAAGTGTCAGTTGGATAGAAGCTCTATGTCCCCAAAGGGAATAAGCAGATTATGCTAAATTTTCCCAGTTAGCCTAACTAGTTACATATAATCAACCTAATTAATTCTAAATGTCAACTATACAAGAAAATCACGCGGACACGGGGTCCTGCTTTTGTTCAGTCTGGTTGTTCGAATTGGTCCTTGTGTTTTGTACCACGGAGCTGAGTGTTTGAGTATTTAAGTTTTTGGAGAAGTTTTCCTTTCAATTGTTAAGTTGGCTAAAGAACCCAAATATTCAACTCAATCAATGAAAGCACCAGTTTAGTTGAACTGATATTAGATATGATGTATTCTTAAGTGCTGAAATGCTACTGCTGAGCTGTTTACTAGAACCGTACTGACGTGGTAGTTCTGTGACTCATTCACCTGTTGCACACCCCATCCGGTTAGTTCTGCTCTGCATGGTAGTTCCATCCTGAGCTTATGATGTGGCGCCTTCTGGTTCGTGAGGGGCATATTGTCTTGCAAGCTTCAAGCGGGACATGTCTCCCATTCCTGAACTGGCAGTTTATCTCCACACCCGTGTACCCAATTTTAGTTATTCTGTTGTGTACGACTTATTGCAAAGAAAAAATAGTTAAAAGGATGAAGGTTCAAATTGTATTAAACTAATAGATCAGTTGGGTCATTTTTCTTTTATATTTGGATTGGATGTCTGTAATCCATATATGGTTTTTAATCTTGTTCGTGTTTATTTGTTGTTTTTTGTTCTGATTTTATTTTCTTGGTTTTTGTTTGTATTTCTAGGGTCGAAAATTTTCAATTCAAGGGCTTTTGGGGAAAGATCAATGTTCCAATGCTTTCATCAATGGAACATTGGTAATATTTCGTTTGGCACCGCAGGTATTTATTGCAATATGTACTTTTATTAACTTGTACCATGAAGTTGAACCATGCATACTCTGATTTTTATTTTGATATTAATCATCTACTATGGTTTCAGGATTATCATCGTTTCCATTTTCCTGTTTCTGGAACTGTTCAACAGTTTGTACATATACCTGGATGTTTATATACGGTATGTGATTATAGATGTGACATGGAAGTCCTTTATTTTTTGCTTATCATCTATTTTCTGGCTTCTCTACAGATTTCCTTTGTTCTTTTTCTTGATCTTTTTCCTTTTTCTTTCTTCAGGTTAACCCCATAGCTGTGAATAGCAAGTATTGTAATGTTTTCACTGAGAATAAGCGAGTAGTATCAATGCTATCAACTGCTGAATTTGGAAAGGTTTGTTAGTGCAATCATTTATTTTTTTTCAAAATGTCAATATCATTTCTATTTACAAAAAGGCAAAAGTCAACCCCATTTCTTGGATATTAGTAGTGATACATGCTCACTCCATTTTTCTTATTAGAAACTACTTAAACTGGTGCATTACATTGAGATGAAAAAACTGACCGAAACTTCAAAAAATCAGTTTATACTTCGGTGTTTTAGCATTTCATCGCATTCTGTTGCCCAAGAAGAGTTTGGGTGGAAATCCAAAAATTCCGATGTTTCCACCTAAATTTGGTGGAACATATTTTATCTGTGAAAATATTCCAGCTGCTTAATTATGTAGGCTGTGGTCTGCCTGCTTGGGGTGTGTGCACTGCACCCCATGTGATAAAAAAGTAGTTGTTTACCAAAATAGGAAAACAAGAAAGAGAGGCTGCAAAGGCGCCCACTTTCATGCGAACCAGCTGGAGTCTGCAATTGTAGACATATAGATCCAAAGAGAGAATTTCAAACTACTCTCAGTAAAAACTGTGCTTATAAATTGTGGCTTGGGTTTGGGCTGTATATATGGCTTAATCAAAATGTGGTCCCTCAAAGTGTTGCCCTTCATGAAATTTGAGCTACTCAATCAAAATTTTAACCGAAATTAAAGTGTCAGCTTATAACCAAATTGAAGTATGGGCTGTAAATTACAAACTCAATTAATTTGATTTAGATTTACAGGCGTTCCTTGTTGTAATTAAGGTTGTATACTTGTAGTTGGTGTCAAAGCTCATTATGGTAAATGTATACTAATGTTATTTAAGGAAGGCCAGTTAAATTTAAATTAGTATGTACATGTTCTCAAAGATAAAATTCAATGAACCAAAAATGTTTGCAAATTTATAATTAACTTTCAATGTCATATGCTTATCACCTTATATGTTTATCATTAGAATACCATTTTTACGAAGTTCACATGGTTAGATGATGGATTATTGATTGGTTTAGCATTTTGTAAAGTTTCATTCAAAATTTTCATGTTATTAAGCAAATTTCCGTCGTCTTTTTCTACCAATGCCAATATTTTTCATAAAATCTCACTACCATAATTTCCACTGACATTGACATTCTCAACCTAGCTTTCGACTGAAAATATCTGTCTTGGGTAAATCTGCTACAGAAAATACCTGCAGTTGCTATGCTATTATAATGCAAGAAAAGTAAAACCATTCACGCCCTTTACTTGAATGGCAAATTTCAATAGTAAACTGGATTGAGCTCTCATATTTATTTCCTGTTAGAATAGTGTCATCATTTTGTTGGATAGAGTCAGCACGTTTTTCTTTCCTAATTAAGAAGAGATGTATCATTCTTGGGTATTAGTGACATAATACTATTAGCACTCCTCTTTTATTTCTTGCACTTCAAAGTGAATGTTTTATAACTTTTCTGTACTTACTTATTGGAGTGCCGATAGTGGTAGCCTAATTCTTTTGATCATCTTTTTCTCTGCAGGTGGCTTTTGTTGCCATTGGTGCAACTATGGTTGGCAGCATTACCTTTTCAAAGAAGGAGGGTGACCATGTTAAGAAAGGAGAAGAGGTTAATATTCTTTATTTGATGAGTTTTCTTTGGTTTTATATTTTATGTATTTACGGCAGATAATGGGTTGATGTATACTGTCTTGACATTGTGTTCATTTATTACAGTTTGGCTATTTCTCATTTGGTGGAAGCACTGTAATCTGCGTCTTTGAAAAGGTTTGTATTTGATTGAATAGGGGTTGAATAAACATCGTCACATTACTATTCTTTTCCCTTTTTGGCCTCTTTTTGGTATATGTTGTAAGGAAGCAAGTCTCATAGGTTCTGAGAATTGACACGTCTAGCTTTTGTTTTTGACACAGTTCGGTTCATCCAGTTTCAGTTAGGCTTAGGTTGTTTAGTTTTATGAGTTGTGACCTTAAGTGGGACATGGGGCCACCAAAACAGATGGTGAGGATATTGTTTTGGGACTATGTGAGGCCCTGTGAGAACTTTAAAGATTTTTAAAGGCAAAAAGTGACTTTTGGTCCTTGTAGTTTGATATCCCTTACAATTCAAGGCCACGTCCATATTTCCTTCCAATTCCGTGACAGAATAAGTATGTGTCATTGACGTTGAGGGGTATTTTGATGGAATTGTAAGGAATTTGACAAATTTGTAACATGTCCTTGAATTGTGAGGAATTTAAAACTACATGGATAAAATTGACAAAATTTAAACTACGGGGGACCAAGGTGGTAAAATAAAACCGGCAACTATAGGGGGACCATTGCCTTTTTAAAATTTTCATGGTGGGTGCGTGGAGCATGTGGGTGAGGTGGGTAGAAGGGTGCAATAGAAGCTTTCTTAATCTAAACTTTACGTGGTAAATGTCGTCAAAAGTTTGCACTTTCAGATTTATGGTGGCATGCATAGGGTATTTCTGAGTTTAACTGTTGGCTTTTTGTGTGGGTTGTTATGCAGGATGCTATTGAGATAGATGAGGACCTCCTAGCAAATAGTGCCAGATCACTAGAGACCTTGGTTACTGTTGGGATGAAGTTAGGTGTCTCCAAGAAACTAGCCAATATTGGGTTGCCAAACATAGAAAAATGTGTGTTGCAAGATTGAGAGAGCTCATTCTTGTGTTCTATATATACACAATATAGTCTTTATGTGTTAAAGATGTCCTTATTTTTAGCATAGGGCTTGCCAAAACCTATATATATTCATGTTAAACTAGGTTTTTCAGCGTAATCGACAAATATTGTATTATTATAAGGATGATCTAATGGAACTAGTTTGAAATCAGTTCATCTTATGTTGAAAGATTGTCCGTTATCCCACTCATTTATCTTGTAGTCCACACCAATCTGAACATATGTTGTATTTCAGTGATGCGAACAATCTATGTTTTAGTACTCAACCCAACCAACTCCCCAGCCCCAAAAACCCCGATTCCCCTTGTAAATCACGAACCACAACCCCCAGATGTAAACCATGTATCACTGAAATACAATGCATGGGGAAAGGGGGAGGTGGTGGTAAGGGTCGGGAGGTGAGTATGGGGTTTTTTAGGGAGGAGGGGGATGTGCGAGGAAGGGAAGAAGGGGAGTCTTGATTTGATTTTTAATTATTTTAAATGATAGTGAATTCATTTAATAGATTGACTAACGGTCTTGATGACGAACGACTTACTTGTAGGTTTTTCTTGAGTTTCTAAAGCCTTCAAATATTGGATACCAATTTGAAATGACCACCAAAATTTGGGGGTTATTATGTAATAAACCTGTTTGGTAAATTGCAACAAATCAAAATGTATTCTTCATGTGGATTTCTCCAATCACAAATCGTCCAAGTCTAAAACCGCACCAAATATAGAGCCGTTAGAACTTAGATTTATTAACTAGGCTTGATTGCGCGCGCTCCACGGCCTAGACCTCCTGAAAAAAAGTCTGTCACTTTGGGCCACTACCTCTAACCTTGACTTTGTCCCATTTTTGAGCGCCTTGATCGCCTCTCTCCAAGTCTGCAAAGGGTTCTCTTCTTTCAGATCCAACTTGTTTCATTTCTTGTAAAAACAAAGTTTAAAATGCCTTGGATTTGTTCTGCACTTTGTTCACTGTAATGCTGCTTGTTTTCTATGCATCCATTCTTTGATTCCTTGCTTTAGCGTGACAAAATAAAAGAAAGCTTCTTTTAATAAAATTACATGACATAAATAGCAATGGTTGGAAGTGTTGAGAACGAGAAGATCCAAGAGTTGCCGGAGGATTTCGTGACAACAACGGTTGATGATGAGGTGGAGAAGAAGAGGGAGATTTCGCTCGGAAGGAACGTGCACACCACATGCCATGAAGTGAGTGAGCCCGATGACGACGATGATTCCACTGGCGACAGGGAAGCTTATATGGCCAGCGTCTTGGCTCGCTACAGAAAGTCTTTGATTGAAAGGACCAAGCATCATCTTGGTATTTGCAACCTTTGTACATTTTCTAGTTAGTACGTTAATACCGTGCTACGTACTGCACTAACCACATACATAGAGTAGAACATTTGGGTTATGAAAGTTTTTCTACCGCAGATTTAGCTTATTGAAGTTGCTGTTCAAAAATTAGTATGTTGCTTATAAATTCTGACTGTCGTATGTTGGCACATGAAAATCTGGAATAGGCTACCCCTATAACTTGGACTTTGATTATGGTGCACTCGGACAGCTTCAGCACTTCTCCATCAACAACCTTGGGGATCCGTTTATCGAGAGCAACTACGGTGTTCATTCCAGGCAGTTTGAAGTGGGCGTTTTGGACTGGTTTGCGCGCCTGTGGGAATTGGAGAAGAACGAATACTGGGGCTACATTACAAATTGTGGTACAGAGGGGAACCTTCATGGTATTTTGGTTGGGTTAGTATCAAAGATTCTCAGTTTCTTTCTTCTTTTTTAATTTCTTTTCCTAGACTGAAACAGTGGAATTTTATGAACTTGAAAATAGAAAATAGATATGTTGATTATCATTTATTTATTTTGGCAGGAGGGAAGTGTTTCCAGATGGGATTCTATATGCTTCAAAAGACTCACATTATTCTGTGTTTAAGGCAGCAAGGATGTATAGGATGGAATGTGTAAAGGTGAACACTCTTGTCTCTGGTGAGATAGATTGTGATGACTTCAAAGCCAAACTTCTTTGTCACAAGGACAAGCCAGCCATCCTAAATGTTAACATTGGTAGCTCTCTCTCTCTCTCTCTCTCTCTCTCTGATTTGATTTATGGCTCACATACTATGTTGTTCCAGGAACAACTGTTAAAGGAGCTGTTGATGATCTTGATCTGGTTATACAGAAACTTGAAGAAGCAGGTTTCACACACGACCGGTTCTATATCCACTGTGATGGGGCTCTGTTTGGTCTCATGATGCCTTTCGTCAAACGAGTATGTATTCAATGGTTGTCCTAAAAAAATGTAGTTAAACTCAGACGATACAAATATTTTCATACATGCGGCACGTATACTGCTCATTTCAAGTGCAAATGTGCCCATCAAATAAGTCATCCTGCATGCACTCCTTGAATTGCAATTTCTCTCTTATGTTTTTATAATGTACAAGCACATAATGACTTTTTTGGAGTGCCAAGAACAGTTTCCTTGTCTTTTATTAAGGTTGTGTCTCCAAGAATACACATGAAGGTTTGCTAGATTCTAACATTGATTAATTAAGTGGCCTTTCTATATAACTTTTACATCTTCCAAAACCCCACATTCTCATTGATTTTGGGGATGACAGGCACCAAAAGTTACTTTCAAGAAACCCATAGGAAGTGTGAGTGTTTCAGGCCACAAGTTTGTTGGATGCCCAATGCCATGTGGTGTGCAAATAACAAGACTGAAGCACATTAATTGCCTCTCAAGCAATGTGGAGTATCTTGCTTCAAGGGATGCAACAATCATGGGCAGCCGAAATGGGCATGCTCCTATTTTCCTTTGGTACACCTTGAATCGAAAAGGATACGGAGGGTTCCAGAAAGAAGTTCAGAAATGCCTTGAGAATGCACATTACTTAAAAGACCGCCTACGCGAGGCCGGGATTGGTGCAATGTTGAATGAGCTGAGTAGCACGGTTGTGTTTGAGCGGCCGCAAGAGGAGGAGTTTGTTCGCAAGTGGCAGCTTGCTTGCCAAGGAAATATCGCTCATGTGATTGTAATGCCCAACATCACCATTGAAAAGCTTGATGATTTCTTGAGTGAGCTTCTTCAGCATCGTGCCAAATGGTTTCAAGATGGAAAGCTTCAAGCTCCTTGTATTGCGTCGGACGTGGGCACAGAGAATTGTCTATGTGCTTCGCACAAGTGACCGGTATGCTAGATGATGTTGTAATCCAGATCCCTGATTCATGTTTTACTTTAGTTTTTCTGAAATTACAAAGACAAATATAAACCCTAAAATTAACACATCAACCAACAAAGAGAAAAATTCACCAAATTTTTATTTTTAATTTTCAAACGGGTTGCCATCTTTTAATGGATAAAATAAAACCAGATTGCAACTTAAAATCTCTAAACACAGACAGAAAGAGAAAGATGAGTGGGTTGGGCCTCTGTAGATGGGGCAGGAGGGGGGGGACTGGACTGGGCAGCAAGTGGGGAATTTTCTCATCTGTGTTACATTACAATACAGAGTCGTCGAAATTAAAATGTAGGCTAAATATATGCTTTGGCAATATAGCACCAGTTAATGCGGAATGCTATGATGAGGGGTTATTTTAATGCACTAGTTAACTAGAATCTTAAATTAAGAAAGATAGACAATTAATTAAGGTGCAGCCAAAGGCCACCATGAGATTGCGTAATTTGAAAATTAGATTCAAAAGGCATTCGAGCAATTTTATGCTATGAAATTCAACATTTTTTTATCCACAAAATGTTGGTGATTTTCTATTTTTTGTTGTTTTATTTATGGGTTTAACTTTTATTTTTTTTATAAATAAAATCAATTTTTTTTATTCTTATCCAATGGACTAATAACTGAAAATTATTAGAATGAGAGGTATCAGAAGGAATGTAAATTATCATTCCCTATGTTTTGAGTTTGCACCGGTTTTTGTTTTATTTTGCTTGGCTTGTCACGTTATCAATTGAAACTCAAAAATAAAACTCAATTCCTCTACACTAAGAGCATCTGCAATGGTGAGGGTTATTTCAATTTTATTTTAATAAATTGAACTTTTGACTTGCAGTGGTAAAGTTCAATTCATTTTAGTGGTTAATAAAATGAACTCTGAAATGAAATTCATTTCAATAAGATGACCCACCATAATAACTCTATAGCCTCTCTTTTATTGACACATGGACAACAATACTTTTTACTTTTTAATTTTTTAATTACATTTAATTAGCGTAAACTAGCCGTTACATTTTTTTTTCAAAGCAACCACCATGTATCACTATGTTATGTAGCACCAAAAACCCAACCATATGAGGTTGGCAATCACATAGCAAAATGAGATCATATTAACGGGCTAATTATAAACCAAAAAACGAAAGAAAAAAAAAACATATAATATAATCGACCTAGAAGCCAGTTATTGTGGCAAAACTGAGCCACCAGAGGCAAGAAACCAACAAGATGCATCAGGTAGAATACGAAAAGAAAAACAGGAACATGCACAGTAAGAGCAACTACATGACTTCAAAACTAGGTGGACCTCAATGCTAGGTGTTTAATACATAAAGCAATCAAATCGCAGATACCCAAATTTTTTGTAATTTTGATGTGTTTCCAATGCATTATAGTAAATCAGGATTGTATATTTAAGTGATTGGCTTTTAGTGGAATATGGAGAATTAGATTCTTATTTTCCATATTAGTAAATTATATAGTGAGCTTAAACTAAAACTCCCTTTAATAAATAGGCTTCAAATGGGCCGAATTACCGCATCAACGATACAACCAGGTCGTGCCAAGCCTTAATCGGGCGGGACTCATGTTGTGCTTGAGTTGGCCATGTCCATTTGACACCTCTAACAATCAATGCTTATATAATATAAGTATTTATTAGTGTAAGATATCAGCTAACCCTATTATTGGCAACAACATCAAAAGAAGAGAAGGATTAAAAAAAAAATTAGTGAATAGAGCCTAGATGTCTGGGAATATACAACATGAACCTATCTACACCATTCACCACCACAATCAATGCATTATGCATAACATCGTATAAAGCCTCCTATGTATTGTCATCCATCCTTTGTGCTAAAAGCTAGCACAAACTCGCCTAGGCGCACCCTGGAAACCTGTCCTTACACCAATCTGGCCCATTTTTAGAATTGCTTCGACAAAATCTGCCTCAAAAGAAGGTCCAAATGGGAGCTTACTGAAGAAACCAAAGTAATTGTCCATTATACCCCTGGTCACTGCGTCCTCATTGAGCTTGGCATCGGATTCTAACACGGCGAACCCATTTCTGATATTTTGCAGAATATGAGGGTCAAATGCCTGCCCGCTTCCTTGGTCAATGGGTAACCGCACATTAACGTCGCCGTTTTGAGGGCACTTTTGTTTTAGTTCGACGAGGAGAGTGGGGTTGATTGCTGGATCCGATCCCCCTCCTGGAAAGAAGTTGTAGAGCCTTTCGGTCAAAAAGAAGCATGCTGTTGTCCCTATTGTATGAGCAGCTGAAAAAAAATATCAATAAAATGAATGTTATTTCCAACAAAACGAAAACCAATCCTTCTCGCACTTCAAAGTTTTTTTTTCATGACATGTTACTCTCCTTGATCAAGTTTATATGTAACAAAGAAATTCAAGTTACGTGGAGCATTAAATCAATTATTCACGACATTCGCCATTTACCACATTGAGTTTCCGAAGTATTTATACCTCATATTTTCTCAAAGAAGAACATGGTAGCAGATAATTTTAGCTAATCTTATGACATGATTGTCAATAATTTTATATTTGATTTTGTAATTTTCCTCATTTTGTTTCTCATACAATTAATATGTAGAGGATTGTTTTAAATTTCCTTGTTAAAGAAAAGGTTTATATGTATGTACCTTTATACATACATATATATAAAATAAGTACCCATTATCAATATTCATATTAAAAAAATTAAAATTCAAAATAAAATCAGATAATGAGTCTTATTTTTATGTTTTATAATTCTAAAAATAAAATTTTAAATTTTTGAAAAAATCAATTGCCAAGGGGCTAGTTAATTAATTAATTGAAAGCAGGAATATTACTTGAATTGATCATGCATGTAACATTAGTCACATAAACTTGGTTTTTCACCAAACCTTACCATCACCCCCACTTGCATGAGAGAGAGAGAGAGAGAGAGAGAGAGAGAGAGAGAGAGTACCAGAGAGGAGGACAAGGCCCTTTTCTGTCAGGCCCTTGCGCATGAA